CTCCCACAGATGCTATCAACTTCACTTTGCCAAACCAAACCTTAGGCCTAAACCTTAACTTTCAAGATTTCAACACCATAGACACCAGCCTTTACCGTAACAACAACAACCCATCAATCTATTCATCATCATCTCCGTCGTCTTCGTCCTCGCCGACTCTGTCGGTTGTAACCGAAGAAGTTCCTTCGGTTGCACTATCATCACATGAAGTGGGGGCTGATCTAACTAAATCCCACGGAGGGGGAGGGCTGCATCAAACTACGGATGACGAGGAAATGACGGAGATCAGATCGTTAGGAGAGCAGCACCAGAAGGAGTGGGATGACACCGTGAATCTGGTAACATCAGCATGGTGGTTCAAGTACTTGAAGACTATGGAACTTGGGGCACCGGAAGTGAAAGCTGAGGAGGAGGATGAGTATCAACCATTTGATCAAGTGATGGAGTTCCCTGCCTGGTTGAAGCAAATGACGCCTGCTTGCAACACCATTTCACTGATATTTGCCCTGATGACTACCCAGGATCCCGCCTTACCTTGGTAAGAATCCAAAACTTTTTTACAAGTATATCAGTTGAGATTTTACAAGTTAACTAACTTAATTGGTTGGGTTTACTACACAGCATGGACATTGGAGAAATTGAAGGAATGGATGGGGAATGGCTATCTTAACAAGGATTGATTGTGTTTTTTAATTAATCAAACCTTTGGCAATTTATGTCCCTTTTGTTTTCATTTTTAAGTCCCCCCCCCCTCCCACTTTTCTAAGCACTGCTGTTCCTAGAAATCTAAATAACAGGCTTGCAAATGTGTGGAAGTTCGGCATGCATTGCAGGTCATTCAGCAAAATAATATTATTATGTGTCTAGCTAGAAGAGTTTGTTTTTTCTTCTACAAATTTTCCAATATCCATCATTTTTATATATTTTATTGTAATTTCTTTATTGCCCCCTTTTTTCAATAATATTATATAGTATCACATTTTCGCTAAATGGGATATCATTGATGAAATAATACATTAATTAATTTTTCTTTGTCTTAACTATGTTTGATCGAGTCCAAAAAACAATTTGTTCAAAAAAGTCTTAAGAACAATTACACAAATCATTTGGATTAAAGACACTAGTTCAGCTATCGGAAATGCAATTAGGAGCCAGTAAATTTTAATTTTAGGGTCGAATTTTAAAAAAAATTATTGAATTTTAAAAAATTATTGAATTTTAATTTGATCCGCATAGTTTTTTTTTTTTTGAATACATGAAGAGAAAGGAAAATATTAGTCTTCTAATCAGCCAGTGTTGGCTGCTCCTCTACTGCTAGCATCCCCCTCCAGTAATATTTCCAGGTCTTCCGGCGGCCGAGTGTAGATCTGAGCTCAAACGGTTGAGACTATTATTATTATCAAACATATTTATTTCATAATATTTAAGGGGCAAAACTCACGAGATATTACTGTGAAAAAAAACAATTCACGTGATAATGTTGTCCAAGAAATAATTGTTCAAATGGTGTGAATTATACAGTGCATGGATTGGTCGCCATGAAAGCCAAACGAGATCATAGGTAGCCATACACTCGGTGCGACCTTGTAGGTCGCCATGCAAGCAGCTCGAACTCCTCCGTGATTCTGCTGAAATCACGAAAAAGGTGACTCTGCCTCCCTCACCCCTATCTCCCTCATGCATGCAGCAATGAAATCACGACAAAAGTTTTTTATACGAGCTGTGGCGAGAGGATGAAGCTTTGCTACGAGCTGTGGCGAGAGGATGAAGCTTTGCTACGAGCTGTGGTGAGAGGATGAAGCTTTGCATGTACCATGCACGTCGGAAGAGGTCACCATGCACGTTGGAAGAGGTCGCCTGCATGTAGTGGGGAGCAGGCGAGCATGCAGCGGGGAGCAGGGTGCAGAACAAGGTTGCCCAGCGTGCATGGAGACCTACAAGGTCGCCCGGAGGGCATGACAACCTATGCTGGGAAGCAGCCACGCCGTAGGTCGCCCGGACCAACACTGTGCAATTCGCCCTATTTGAGCAATTAATCTTGGAAGTACGTTATATCGTTAAATAAAAAATTCGAGAACATTATCTCGAAAGTTTTGCCATATTTAAGGATTGAGATTCAGTCTATTATTATTTTATTTATTATTTTCTAATACAATAATTATTATCAAAAATATTTATAGGATTCATTTTATTGATTGCGTGAATGGTAATCATAACTAATGATGAATTGTGATTAAGTTTGTATTAAATAGTAGTGAAATGAAAAATAATGGATGAGAGTTTACCAACATTTAAAAGAATGTGTTTGTACGAATTAATTATCTTCGTGGTAAATATATTGTTGTTAATCTTTGAGGATTTGAATTTGAGTATCATATATGTTAGGAGTGTAAGGGTTAAATGTCAAAAAAGGGTTAAATGTCAAAAAATTGAGAGTTACCTTTAAAACATATACTGCTTTATATTTATCTAAAATTAATAAAAAAAAGTGTTCGAACGTGCTTACGAAATATCTTTCGTTTTAATGAATTTTGAATTTGGGTAATAATTTTTTAAAAAATAATAAATTAATGCATAATATTAACTCAATCGGTTTAAATAAAAGTAAAGTATTTATAAAAGGGAAGGAAGAAACGTGAAGGGGAAATGTAAGAGTAGAAGAGGGGTATAAGCTAAGGTTTAGGCGGTCCAAGTGTAGGAATGCAGGCATGTAAAGGGGCAAGCGTCAAAGCCTCGACACATGCTACTAAGCACAATATTTCCTTGCAAATTGTCAAATCATTTCCTGCATGTCTTTATCATATCATGTCAACAAACAAAACTGAATAAAAGAGATTTTATATCTACAAATAATACCGACAACGCCGTACCCGTTGAAGAAGATCTTTCATATTGAGAATGATATCTTGCAAATCACTATTGCCCATAATCCACACACACTCGGGTCAATTCTGAAGCCAGCCCAGCTTCTGATCCAATCTCTTTACGGTGCAGCTTTCAGGCATGGGCTTATATTATGCCCAAGTATGCAACTGGGGAGTGGAGAGGTACGTTTCATTAGTTTAAATGATAGCTCCATTGACCCGCTCTCGTCTTTCGAACATCCTTCGGTAACTGGGCTCGATGATGTCGGTTAGACAGCTAAAATTGAAAGTTTCCATCTTTAACTACAAACCTCCCTTTCTGCTTAGGTTTAGCCTTTGTGTCGGTCAATAGTCCGTCCCCAAACATAAATCAATATATGCAGAAAAAGAAAAGGACGGAATAATGTAAAATGGGGCATACCCGCCCGAGCGGTGGGTCAATTCCAAAAACTAGAGCTTGTTTTATGTTTCGTTTGATCTGGGTTGATTTTTCTTACTGTTTTGATATCATTTCTGGCGGACCCAACATAAGATGAGTCGGCACTCTTAAAATACGGTTAAAAAAATACGTTATCGGTTTTAATATTATTTAAATAATAAGATCGGTAAAAATTTACCTAAATTATTATTATTTTTATCTAAAACATTATTGTTTTTTAATATTTCCGAAAAAGTGCCCAACAATAACAAAATCGATAGCGTTTTATCGGTTTTGTTAACAAACTCGGTAAAACACCCAATAATAATAAAACCGGTAAAACAATAATATTTTCGTTAATTTTTTTAACCGATTTTATTATTTAAATAATAACAAAACCGATAGCGTTTAATCGTAACACGTCTTTTCCCTAAGATGAGGGTGTCAAAACCCTAAAAATTTTAAAAGAAAAAGTTTTATGTAATTTTTATATGTTATAATGTAAAATAAAATAAATGAATATTCATTTTAAAAAATAAGTTGACCTTGTATTTTTAAAGAAATCTATATAATTTTATTTAAATATTATAATATATGAGTAAAATAAATTTGATAATTATTTTATATTTTAATAAAATATAATAATTAATTTGTAATAGTTTAATACATATAACTGGATTATTATACTTTTCGACGATGTAGTTGCTTTTAAGGCAACAACTTTATAGTAATATGGTGGGAACCCTACTTAATAATATTAGGGGTCAACTCTAATAAAGGACACCGATGTTTGTATACCGAAAATTATTTCAATTTTAAATCTTAGTATTTATAATTTTTTCTTTAAAAAGCGTACAGTTTTCTTTCAAATTACAAGATAATGTAAGTGATATATTATTTTCGGGTAAACTGCACGATCGATCATTCAACTATTGCTCAATTTTATTTGACCATCGCTGTTCCAATTTCATCAATCAAATACCTAACTATTTAAATTCTTTAATCAGACTACTAATCGTTATATTTGTTATATTTAACAGAGTTAGTGATATGACATTTTAAAATTGGTATAATTATGAATATAATACTTAATATAAATATTTATCAATTTATATTTGTTTTAATTTAATTAAATAAATTAATATCTAATTAGATGATACAAGTCATCACATGACTCATATCATATCATCCATGTCTGTTTGCTCACCCAAAATATCATTGACGAATGCATGTCTAGAATTTCCATTATATGTTTGCCCCTCTCTCCCATTGCCAATCGGCTGATTACTGTTAACAAGTTGCTTGTCCCAAGGTTTGAGTGGCAGGTTCAAAATACTGGCTGAAATATGATCTTCTCCATAAGATGAAGCAGGATATCTCAAATTTTCAGCTACATTACACCATTACCATAGTGATGCAGCAGTTCCTGCTAGTCACCAAATACATATCCACTGCCAGCAAGAAACCTTGAGGCTTTGCTACCACCATGCAAGGACCAAACATTCTATGTAGAGGACCCAGACTATAAAAGTACGCAAAACCTGAAAAGGGTGTGTTGGTTTATTTCCCTTCAGGTGTAGATTCTGCAATTCAGGAAATATGCTAGTATGCTTTATATAAATGATATAAGCTGATTTGTAGCTCCATTGCTTAGTTTGTGTTTAGGTCTGTTCGATGGTGTGTTTTAGTACTTAATCACTCTGTTTACTTGTAGGAAGCCTATACTCGTGGTAATGAACTTCAAGTACCAGATTGTACTCATTATTTCATGGAAAATTTGCAAAGATTGTCGGATGCCAATTATATTCCAACAAAGGTATCTAGAATTTGCAATATCTCCTCCTTAAAGAGGTTTTAGTGTCATGCATATGTCTTGCCCATCAAAAAAATCAGCATACATATGATCAATACACTCAAGATGAGCATGCTTGATAAACAAAACCTTGAAACGAAAATTGGCTTTGTTAACATTCAAGCGTTGTTGGCATTGCATTATATAAACTTATCTTCCAAAGATATTTTCTCTAAATCAGCTTCTTAATCTGGTTCGTATAGAGAGGAATGTTCTATATGCAAGAGTTCGTACAACTGGTGTCGTCGAAATCCGGTTCAGGTGAACTATATTTAGTGATTTAGTCTTTCCTTTGTTTATGCAAATTCATTGATGTGAGCATTAAGTTAAACCTAATAAAGGAACCATGTTTTCGCCTTCTCAGAAGTCTGATTGAGTTCAGATTTATATGCTTATATAGATAAATTAAAATTGGTACTCAATTATGGTTTCATCATAGATGCTACATGGTTCCTGTGTTTGGCATTTTGTAGGATATATGATTACTAATTTGTGTCGTCTGTGACGTCTGCTTTGCAGCCCTGTGGGGGAGAATAAGAAAAGTGGTGAAGTATACAGACTCTTCGATGTGGGAGGCCAGAGAAATGAGAGAAGGGGATCCATCTTTTTGAAGGTGTAACAGCTGTGATTTTGTGCTGCTATTAGTGAGTAAGATCCGTTTTACTTTTGCCGTCTCTAAATTCTGTTTTGTCTGTATAGGTGACGGTACCTAGCTGTTTCTATATCAGAGCGTGGTATAAAATGCAGAAATGTTAACTGAGAAACTGTTGAGGTTTTAGGTGATCAAACACTTTCGAGGATGAACAGAAGAAGCGGATGATGGAGACTAAGAACTCTTTGATTGGGTGTTAAAGCAGCCATGCTTTGAGGTTCTCTTTAGGCTATATATGCTCCTTGTGTATCTAATAATCAAGTATTGATCATAGCTGCAATTTGCTTATCTAAAACCTGGTTCTTTTCTGCAGAAACATCCTTCAGACTGTCTCACAAATTCGATATATTGAAAAGAAAGCTCTAAAGGTAAAGTCCAGAAGTATGGTATAAATTTTAGGATATTTATGGTCAGTATCAGTGTGGTTTGACGCCCGACATTATGTAGGTTCCAATAAATGTATGCCAGTGGTTCATAGACTACCATCCCGTTTCAACGGGAAAACAAGAGATCGAGCATGCATACGAGTAAGCAATTTTTTTTAATTCCATCATAAATCTTACAAAGAAGGAATTTTCATTCCAAGACTGTTTATGTTTCTCTTTCTGTTAAGGTTCGTAAAAAAGAAATTCGAGGAGTTATATTTTCAAAGCTCCGGCCCTGATCGAGTAGACCGAGGTCTTTAAGATACAGGACCAATGCTCTTGACCAGAAGCTTGTGAAGAAAACTTTCAAGCTCGTTGACGAGTCTTTGAGACGGAGAGATCTATTCGAGGCCGGGTTGTTGTGAACGATGGCAAAGACTGTTCATAATTGAGTCTGTGGATCCACCATTTGGATGTTTTTAAGGTTGGAGGAAACACCCATCTTTGGAATGCTGCCTTATTTTCATCACGGCTAAAGTTTCGATTTCCCCACATTTTTTTTCTCTCTAAAATCCCCATGATTCTAGGGGCTGATTTGTTCAGATGAGTTGTTTTGTGTGGGAGATATTGGATCGACATATGAAGATGATAAGATATTTATTTCCTACTAATACAACACCTATGTTTATAAAATTCCAAGTCTGCTCTAAATTATTCTTGTACCCCAAACTTAGGCTTTAACTGTGGTCTGTTATTGGACCATATGAGTAGTATATCTAATTATAAGTGCATGTATGAATTAATTTATTTCAGTGGTTAAAAGAATTATTGTTATTTTTAGAGGTCACAGTTTCGAGCATAATAATTACACCAGTGTAATTGAACGTTTATTATCAAATAATTAAGAGTATTCATAACAAATATTACTTTGAAACCGGTTATATAAAAGTGCGTGAGTGATGCGCAGTTAGGCGAGTAACATAAGCATTGAAACTAACTAAAACCCAACTGCATTGACAGCGAACAAAAGACGTAACGTTGAACGGTTCCGCACGTGACTTATTAATTATAGGGGTAAATTATACATTTAGTATCTAAATATCAATTTTAATCCGTTTAGTACCTAAATTTTAATTTTTTCAAAATCATGCTTAATATTTAGTTTTTGTTTCATATCAATCTTCGTTAAAAACTTAACGCGTTTGGTACCTAAAACTATCAATTTTGGTATTTTAGTAACTAAACTTTCAATATTTTCAAATTAATGTTAAATTTTAAACATGAGTACTAAAATGAAATAAAAAAAATTAATTAGATATGGTTTTATAAAAAACTGATAGTTCATGTACTAAATATGTAGTTACCCTTAATTATAAAAACTAACTTACTATATTAAATAAACATCTCGGGCTCGGCCCCAATTACCCACTCCTATGACCCGATACAAAACCATTCGGCCCATTCAAGGTTCAAGCCGACTCCTCTCCGGCTCAACCCTTCCTTTCTGTGTTTAATTACAAAATATTTACTTCTTAACATTTCTTAAAAAAATGTGATTTTTTTGCTTAAATTTAAAAGAATTACTTCCTGTATTGGGAAGATAGAAGCGTATATGCTTCCAGATTTGAACCCACGCTGGTGGACCAAATGAAAGAGGGGAGGAGGAAGATGATTGTTCATCGTCTACCACGCGTGCGTCTTTGGTCGGGAGAATAGTGAGATGTTCCTCCGACGAAGATGACGTTCAAAGCTCATTTAATGGTGGCTTCGACACCATGGATTGCCTCCACAGGTTTTGCCTGTGAGGTTCGTTCGTATCCCCGCTTAGTCTTTCAAAAAAAAAACCCCATCAACCTTGCTGGAACAAGAAGAGGTACAAAGAGATCAAGCAAAAGTGCATTGGCTTTTCTAGCAATTGCCATGAGCGGTACCACAAGTTACGACTCTGCTTCCAAACTCATGCCCTCAACTTCTCCTCCCTTGCACCCAACCTTAAACCACAACTTTTTTCAGTTGTATAGCACTCCACCGTCGCGGTCTTTAAGTTGCCGGAATTTCTAATCGGCGGACCTTGTGGGCTGATATGTGACGGGAATGCACCACTTGTGGGCAGCACTCATACGTTGATCTCTAGTTGAGGATTAAACCAGCTCTAAAAAACAATCTTGATAAGCATTTGAAGATTTTTACAGTGTCGATGTATATACTCAAACGGGAAATCATGCTCAAGTTCCTTTTTATGCCAATTTGAAGTTGTTTACGTTAATGCATGTTGTGTATAAATCATCTGCTCAGTACTTCCTTTTAACAATATATATAATACATGGGTAACTACGGATGTTCACTTATGTTTATCTTTTGTTTTAAAAAAAAACATAAGATATAATCACTTTCGTTTTTTTAATTAATTTAAATATGACCACTTTTGTTTTTATCTAATTAAGATGTAGTCACCCGAGTTAATGTCGTGAACGGCAGTTATATATTTGATATAATAACAATTTGTCATTACAAAATATTTGATTAAGAACCAACGGGCTAGTAGGGTATAAACACCGTATAAAAAAGTTGTTGCATTTTTAAAAACCTCAAGCAAATCGGTTATTTTGGCTATAGTTTCCCAACTCGAATCCGGATAAATGTTTGGGACATGACCCCTCTCGAAAAGCCGATCGTGAAATGTTTGCAATGTTTCCCTTTGCCTTAAGGCAGTATGCATCATCATCCAAGTTGAATTCCAACGAGTTGGACAATCCAAATTAAGACCCAAAGCTTTTTTTATTAACGGACTTACAAATCGTTTATATCATTTAGTCTTTGTTGTTGTTACAAAGAACCGATTTTATCATTGTTTTAAATTCTAATCTAATCGGCTCAATAACCTCCAACCGGCTTGCACGGATAAATTAATTATGTGTGCAACGCAACGGGTATGAAAAACGCACCGTCTAAAATCGGTGAAAGTAATATTTTCATCTTGGAACCGCGTTTGTATTATTCGATGCATTATCAAAGGATATAAAAAAATTTTATTTTCTAATTTATAAAGACAAATTACCCTTTTTAAAAGTGTAAATAATTAGCACCGGTATGCGTCTCTCAATAATTCACGTCACATGTAAGTTCACACCATAATGGGTTCTTGGAATCCTAAAATCATTTTCCCTCGCCGTACGCCACATTTTTATAGCATCTTCTAAGGGTCGTACGACTTACTTGAGTATAACGTGGTTGCATTAGTTGTTGAATTGTTATCGTGAAATCTTCATCATCAAAGTGGTCGAACGACAATGCTTTTGTAATCACAAACTTTGTAAACGCTTCTCGTAATTTTTCGTTGTCGTAAACAAAAACATCACCTTACGGTGTAAGATTCGATTGACTAGGATCTGATCTTGAGCGAAGTGCCTTACATGATTTTGTCAAATGGTTCTTCAACGTTGTGTTCCTTCCGATGCAAGAAACTTTAGACAAGTTTACAACGCGCCCTCCTCGAGCATTTGACATCTCACATAAATCGTAGTGATCCCAAATGTCTTTGTTTCGAGTGTGCTCGATCACTCTCACGACTTCAAGGTTTCCCCCGACGGAAGATTCAGCCGTGTTACTCATGATGAACAAAAAATTACAAAAGTAAGATTTGAAAGATGTTTAAGTGTTGTGTAATAAGATTTGAGAAATTTGTAATCAACCAAATACATCCCCAACCTATTTATACATGTTTATGGTGGTAAAATGGTAATTTTTTAAAGAAAAAAACAGTCAAAAACGATCACAAAACCCTCCCAATGGCTATATTAACGGCTAGTTTTTTAAACCAAGACCGGTTTTTTTTCCGGATAAAAACCGGGTTTTTAACCGGTTTTTTTCAAACCGGTTTTTTATCCGGTAAAAAAACCGGTCTAGGTTTTTTCTCCAAACCGGTTAAAATAACCGGTTTAAAAAAAATCCGATCCGGTTAAAAAAAAACCGATTTTTCCCAAATCCGGTTTCGGATATTTTTTTCGTAAAATCGGATTTTCGGATTTTTTGTGCACCCCTAATTAATAGTATTCATAACAAATATTACTTTGAACCGGTTATATAAAAGTGCGTGAGTCTTGATGCAGCAGTTAGGCGAGTAACATAAGCATTGAAACTAACCTAAAACCCAACTGCATTGACAGCGAAACAAAAGACGTAACGTTGAACTGGTTCCGCACGTGACTTATTAATTATAGGGTAAATTATACATTTAGTATCTAAATTATCAATTTTAATCCGTTTTAGTACCTAAATTTTTAAATTTTTTTAAAATCATGCTTAATATTTAGTTTTTGTTTCATATCAATACTCTATCGTTAAAAATTTAACGTGTTTGGTACCTAAACTATCAATTTTGGTCTATTTTAGTAACTAAACTTTCAATATTTTCAAATTTTAACGTTAAATTTTAAACATGAGTACTAAAATGAAACAAAAAAAATTAAATTTTAGATGTGGTTTTATAAAAACTGATAGTTCATGTACTAAATATGTAGTTACCTAATTATAAAAACTAACTTACTATATTAAATTAAACATCTCGGGCTCGGCCCCAATTACCCACTCCTATGAGGCGATACTACAAAACCATTCGGCCCATTCAAGGTTCAAGCCGACTCCTCCCCGGCTCAACCCTTCCTTTCTGTGTTTAATTACAAAATATTTAGTTCTTAACATTTCTTTAAAAAAATGTGATTTTTTTTTGCTTAAATTTAAAAGAATTACTTCCATGTATTGGGAAGCATAGAAGCGTATAATGCTTCCAGATTTGAACCCACGCTGGTGGACCAAATGAAAGAGGTGGAGGAGGAAGATGATTGTTCATCGTCTACCACGACGTCGTCTTTGGTCGGGATGAATAGTGATGATGTGTCCTCCGACGAAGATGAAGTTCAAAGCTCATTTAATGGTGGCTTCGACACCATGGATTGCCTCCACCGGGTTTTGCCTGTGAGGTTCGTTCGTATCCCCGCTTAGTCTTTCAAAAAAAAAAAAACCCATCAACCTTGCATGGAACAAGAAGTGGTACAAAGAGATCAAGCAAAACTGCATTGGCTTTTCTAGCAGTTGCCATGAGCGGTACCACAAGTTACGACTCTGCTTCCAACTTCATGCCCTCAACTTCTTCCTCCCTTGCACCCAACCTTAAACCACAACTTTTTTCAGTTGTATAGCACTCCACCGTCGCGGTCTTTAAGTTGCCGGAATTTCTATAATCGGCGGACCTTGTGGGCTGATATGTGACGGGAATGCACCACTTGTGGGCAGCACTCATACACGTTGATCTCTAGTTGAGGATTAAACCATCTCTAAAAAACAATCTTGATAAGCATTTGAAGATTTTACAGTGTCTGATGTATATACTCAAACGGGAATCAAGCTCAAGTTCCTTTTTTTTATGCCAATTTGAAGTTGTTTACGTTAATGCATGTTGTGTATAAATCATCTGCTCAGTACTTCCTTTTAACAAATATATATAAATACATGGGTTAACTACGGATGTTCACTTATGTTTCTCTTTTGTTCACTTTTAGTTATTAATTTCAAAAAAACATAAGATATAATTACTTTCGTTTTTATTTAATTTAAATATGACCACTTTTGTTTTTATCTAATTAAGATGTAGTCACCCGAGTTAACTGTCGTGAACGGCAGTTATATATTTTGATATAATAACAAATTTAGTCATTGTTATTTACATATTCTTTTAATTTAGTCATAATTTTAAATAAATTTTAACATAAAATATATATTTTAAAATGAAAATAAAAATAAAATACATGTAAATTAAGCTAATAATAAAATATTTTTAATAAGTTAATATATATAAAATTATATTATATATAATTCGAGTCATGAGTACCTAATTCATAATTTTTTATTTTTTTCTTTAAATTATATTATTTTTAATATATATATAAATATATATTCTAAATTTAAATTTTAAAAGTCTATAATATATATAATCCACATGTAAAGTTTAAAAAATTCAAATTACATAATTAAAATAAAATTTATTAAAAATTAAAATAGAAATATAATCAAATTTCACATGTTTTGAAGTTAAAATAACTATTTTAAAAAAATAATCTAGAACATTAATGTGAAATAATTTAAGAAATTATGAATTTAAAACGTTATGGTATCAAAATTTAAGAAATTAATATTTTAAAATGCTAGAATGAAATAATTTTGAGAATTATGAATAAAAAATTTAATATAAAATAAAAATAATATATATATATATATAATAAATCAAATATTGGGTCGACGAGTATCCAATTAAGCAAAACTTTGTGACCCAAGTCCAACCCAAAAATCCTAAAAAATAACAAGCCAAATACTCTACCAGAAAATCATATATTTTTATTATAAATACCCGATATTTTTAACTGAGTTAATGGGTCAACAAGTTAGGTACTTTTAAACACCCCTACTGGCATGACATGTGGCATCACTCAATTGGATAATTATATTTATTTTAATTTATTAAAAGTATGACTAAATTGAGAAAATATGTAAAATAACAAAAACTAAATGTGTGATTATATCAAAATATTTAACAATTGATCACGACAGTTAACCCATTATAATCACATCTTAGTTAAATAAAAACAAAAGTGATACATCTTCATTAAATAAAAACAAAAGTAATCATATCTTACGTTTTTTGAAATAGGTGAGCAAAAATAGACAAAACACAAACATAAGTGATTATCAGTATAATTAATGCTAAATACATATAAAAATTAAATTTCAAGTTTGTATCAGTAGCTACCAAGTTGAACTCTGAATTCACTTGAATAAGCACAATGTTCATGATTTAAGAGCATTAATGGCAATTCTATGTACAATCTAAACGTTCTTTGTACAGGCATAGGAATACAACATGAAAGCATTTCTACAGTTAAAACCAAATGTGACTGAAGGATGAAAAAGGAGAGGACAAGCTTCACAGGTGAAAAAAACAAGAAGCATCCTTCTCAATTCAAAACCATACAAATGGCTTATGCCTACTCAATGTCAATATTGTGGTTACCTACGTCCTACAACTACCCAATGTGGATTCCATCAAGAGAGATGGGAGATTATAGATGTATTTTCACTAGTTTTTAGATTCTTTGCAGCGCAAATCTTTTATCTTCGATGCATTAACTTTCAACACGAACTCTACTGTGGGTTCAAATAGCTGCTTCAGAATCACGTGGTGGACTTACTTTTGATTCTGCATTAGACACTGTGCACACGAATATTCCGATAGGAATTCAGGGAGTTCAATGGAGGAAGGGTCTATTGCTGGTATTGCAATATCTATATCTTCCGTTGAGAACGGAATGCTGTAATCAGAAAATAATTCTACTTCAATAACAAGCCTAGGTGAAAATATACAAAACATGGGTCGACCTAAATAAAACCAAGAGGATTTTGGCAGGGGAGAAAAAATAACTTTAACAGAAAACACATTACCTGAGATCATCATCCAGTAAGAATGAGTTTGAGGCCAGATATTGGCTGTCCTTGTTCAGCATCTCCCTCATTTCAGCAACAACCTGATGATAGATAATGTCAGAAACCCAAGTGACATTATAAAAACATAAATTTACCAGACACCGAGTCTGTAACTCACCTCATTTGACACACTCTGGGTACCATATTTGTCATCCCAGTACATAGTACTTATTCGGTAAATTTGCCTAATAGTCAATGCCTGTACAAGTTCCACAATACAAGGAAACACGATTAACCTCCAAGAGGAGAAATGAAATAGGGGACTCAGATGAGCATAGCTTACCGGACACAAATCGTTACTAATCTCAGCCAAAGATTTTTTTCTCTTCTGATGTATTACCTAAATAAATGTAGAACAAAAAGGTGAATGGTTTATAGCTTAATAGACCAGATGTATATATATATACATGCATGTGCGTATGAAGCTGGAACACTGACCAGAAAACCAACAGCTTGTCTAATATAGTTTAGCTCATGCCATGAGGTTCCTGCATACTGTATATTCCAATATTTCAGAATAAAATACTATTGCATTCAATTGGTACAATAATTCGCAGAAGAAAGTTATTTACCTCCTCCTTTGCATTGACTATCCATTTCTCTAGTTCTGCTAGGCCAGATTTAACATATTCTCCATTTGAGAACGAGCAACATTCTCGTCGAAGCAAAAGACTGGATAAAATTTTATCTTAATAGTTTGATCATTCAACCAATTGTTTCTAAAGAAAATTTTAAACACGATAAGCACATACCTGTTGAAAAGAGACATATTGATGAAGGAGAAAACCTGAGTTATTAGCTTACGAATGAAGAAAGAGGATACCTACATGCACAGGGACTGGGTCAGAGAAGGCAACTGAAGAAAACAAAAGCTTGGATGATTTTTAACTTTACTGCTCTAATTAATTTTGTAAGACAAACCATTTTTAATTAGTCAATAAAGATATTATTCAATTCTCTCATCAAGAATTGCACATATTTCATGACCTTATCAACTAAGGTTTATCAGTTGCAATTATTGTTTCTAGAAGAGGAACACCTTGCTTCAAACTATTACACGTACATGATTTTCACGTAAACGATCCATAAGGGAATCCAAGAATTTGATGATGCTATCCCATTGACTACTAGGTGACTGTTGGGTAAACCCTCCAGGAGATCTTGATTTCCCAGCAAGCATTCGTGCATTTTTTGGCACCTTCAAAATCAGAAAATAGTATCCAACAATCACAATTTTAAGTTTCCAACCCTCTGGTGCTTTCTCAAAGGATCCAAACAAATATACCTTATTTTAAGAAAACAAATAAATAAAAGAATTGCATATACATGAAAACATATATGAAAAAAATTTGATCAAATCATAATCAGACAATGAATGCCATTTCGCTCAAGTTCCATTATACAGTGGCAAACACTTCAATAGTGAGCTAAGCACTTGAACCGCACAGCACAAACAGATGATTGAAACATAGCAGAAACACAGCTAAATAATAATCAAAACTCATTTTGGGGCCAGGTAAGTCATAATTTTGATATTTGGGTTTAGCTTCCAGATCTGCACAAGATATTAACATCTAACATTCAATACAAACCTGAATGCAGAGTCCCAAAAGCGGAGATAATTCTTTCTTAATGTTGTCACGAATCAAGCCAAAAATCTTCTCAACACAGGCTGTTAGTTGTTGTTTGAATAGTATTGCTGGATATCTTGCGTCTATATGTGACATACCATCCTCAAACCCGAGGTATTTGAAAGGGGATTTTAGACCCTAGAGGTGTCAAAAACAAAATTCAGCTCACTAGACAAAGTTGTTCAATGACGCGATAAAATTAAAAAGAATAGAACATGACTACAAGCCTAATACAGCAATGATGACTATTATTAGAAATAAAGGTGTCTGCTTCAGTCATATGATAACAATAACATAATAAACAAAAATGGGGATATATTTTAGCAGGAATTGCATTAATTTTTTTTAAAAGGAAACAAGAACTCTACTAGATATAACAAAATTACAACCCAAAAAGGTCATTTCAAAATATTGTGACGGAACTCACATAGGAAACCCTCCCAGCTAAACCAGTATTTCCTCCAGAACGCTGAGTTGCAGCAGAAAGAAAGCCATTTGATCGTAAATTTTTTTGCAGCAGACACAGAAGTGCTGAGGTGTTGGACAGCCAATAAGGTAAGGTTACATTTTCAGGCCCAACCTGCAAAAATGTCAAAAGATTGAATATGGAGAACATTCACGAAAGGCTAAAATGTTATTCAAAATATTATGGGATTGATTCAGTATCTATTACAAATAATGGCCTTTCAATTTCATGAAAGTTTGTGATGATGTACTGCAAGTACCTTCAGAACATCATTGATTCCTTCTATTATGTAGTCAAATATAGCAGTCCGTTCAGACTCAAAGGAATGCCAATAATGAAGACATTTGTATATGATACAAGCAGCCAGCGGTTTACCATTGTGAAACCCCAAATTTTCTTTGATACATCTTGAAAGAAATTCATAATTTTCCTGCGGAAACAAATTCTTATATTTTAAGTCATCCAAATGCAAAGTTATCAAAAGAATAAACTTAAATGATATCCGTATAAACAAGAAACCTGTTGTCTCTCTGCTGTTAGTTTCAGCCTTCTTGATTCTGACATGCTATGTGAGAATGGTACAATAAGTTTTGAAGGTGTGGGAGATTCCTGCAGAAGAGAACATAATCAGGAAAGCTTAAAACTTGCACACCAGTCAGAGCTGAAAATAGTTAAATGCAGCAATAATTTTCTAATGGAGAAATGAGAAACTTGGGTGTGTGTGTCTTACATATGCTTGCTTCCGGTCAGTCTGAGGAAGACCAAGTGCACTACCATATTTCTGGGTTATTAAGAAAAGATTAATTTACAATAACCACTTCTCAGTAAGCCCAAATAAATGCAAATTTAAAGGAAAAATAATTTAAGAGAATATAAGAAAAAGGATGCAAGGCCAGCGTCATCCGAGATTCAAAAAAATTACAATTAGTGCAAATATAAGCCATCTAAGATAAAACAATAATGCACTTACTTCTGAAAATGACTTTAGAAAGCTAGCACGGTTGCTCTTCGGGGACGGGGTCAATGCTTTTTGTCGTAGAACAAGATTTTCATCTTCTAAATGTGAGAGCTTCTCCTCCAGACTTGTTACAAATCAGCAAACGAAATGAATGAGGAAGTAAAATTAATTAGTGTGCAAACCAAATTAGTATATCCACTTCAGATGACAAAACAAAATAATTCAATGTAAAAAGCAGTCGGTAGAAGACTAAATCATAGCAGAACAAAATCCAATGTCACCATAACAAACAAATAAGTTTAAAAAAAAGCAGTATGCAAAGCATAGAATACGCATGCATCTATTTAAGTCTAAACCACAGTTTCAAGTTATGAAAGATACCTTTTCATATTATTCTGGAGCTCAAAATTCTTTTGTTTCAATTCCTGCAGTTTTTCAACCGTATCATTGGCATCTTTTATAGCCTTCTTGAGCTCAAGCTCCAGGGAAGAATTCTTCTTTTCCAAGGTATCCAAAGAACTCTGAAAAAGTAAACAGAAGTCGAAGGAAAGTCCTTATTAATAGCAAAGCAGATGAAAATTATACAGAAAGCATATTCTAAATTCAATTTCTAAGAAAATGTTTAAATCAGAAGAAAGTAAACTACAACGTTCCAAAGTGGAAAGTAAGTAGTTTTCTTAGCCTAATCATAAAAAATGGTAATCAACAAAAAACCAAACCTTAAGTAATGCATTTTCCTTTCTCATTTTAGCCATCATAGTAAGTTCCTTTTCAAAAGAAGATTTTTCTTTTCTTGATAATTCCAATTGATTTTGCAACACTGCATTCTTGTTGCACTCACTAATTGTTGCCAGCTTAGCTGCATCTAACTCAAGCTTCAAAGATTCCAATGCTTTCTGAAGTTTTGAAATTTCAACTGACTTCGTATCTTCATTGGAAACCTGCAGATTGCCACGTTTAAAAAAAATGGAACATAGAATAACAGAATACTTTTATTAAAGAAAAGAACAGAGGCACTAGATAACAGATCTAAGAGCAAAGTACAAACATTCCAAATTTATATGATTACAGCTTTCTAAAACAACAGTTCAGAAACTATAAGTTATACCCGCATTCGTTTTTCTAGATGCAGTCGCCATGTGAGATCTTCTAATTGCTTTTCAAGCTTGTTCTTAGCTAACCGTAAGGCACCTGCTTCATTAGCCTCCTGAAAATTGTATATGGAAAAGTAGTCATATTGCAAGAAAGTTCTTAATATGTGGAAAGTCTGGTGGTGAATTGTGACTGTAATGAATACATAAATCAGAAGATCCCATCTCATTGCATAGATGGGTCTTAAATGAATCTTCACTTTTCAAGTCAAACTCAAGAAAACAAGGAATTACCTGGTCCTTTTTTACAATTCCTTAAATCCTTACATGAGTACAATCGAAATGTAAAGAACATTTAATAGACCAGGAAAATACAGGACTTTTCTAGACTGATTTTTTTTTTTGATAAGATTTGAAGGCCTCATTAAAAACCTCCTTTTTTTTATAGGAATAGGAGGTCTCGTTAAAAACCTCCCTCATAGTTGGCTCTTGTGAAAGAATTAAAAACCTCCTTCTTGATTAATGGAGCTTGAAAAAAGCTCCTTAATCAGCGGAAGGAGGAAAAGAATGTCTTAGATTTTCATTAAAGAAAATACTAATTACAGCCTAGCGATCTCTTCGAAATAACCCTTACAACAGCCAACAAAACCCACCCGAACAGGAATCAAAGACAAAACTGAAAATGCAAACATAAAAATTAGCCTATTCCAACCTTTGCTAAAGCATCAGCGTCCATATTAGCTGTCCTTGCAACCCAATTAATAATCCCCCCAAAATTCTAAGATTATCAACTATATTTCTAACAACGAAGGCATAAACAACTGGGCATGAGTCGACATTGTTGATCCAGTTTACTGCAACCCTGCTATCACTCTCAACAATCAGCCTATCTTTAACCCTCCCTTGAGCAGAAGCAAAGAAAGAAATACCCCTTTGAATAGCTTTAAGTTCCAGCATAGTCGGAGGTCCCGGACCAGCTGACTCCTGAAAAGAACCTAGGACTGTACATGAATGATCCCTCCAAATACCTCCTATACCCGATTTCTTCCAATCACTGCTAATGGCTGCGTCAACATTCAATTTAAAAAAGCCAGCAGGGGGAGGTACCCACGGGATTAAAGAAAACTTCAATAAATTGTAGGGCGAGTAGGAATCCGCTAATGAAGGATCAATAATCAAAGAATCCTTATGAATAGAAACATCTTTATTCTTAGCTAGAAACCAAGAAGCAAGCCTAACTCTTGATAAGAAAAATAATTATATCTGTTCAAGCTTTCCCCCTTCAAAGACAATAAAATTTCTAGTCTTCCAAATGGTCTAAATGATAACCCCTGGAATGAAAGTCCAAATAGCAGAATTAGATTTCAGCTCATCCCAAGCGATAAGAAAGGTTATAACATCAGCAGGAAACACAGAACTAAACCTCCAAAAGTTTAAAAATTTGTTCCACAAAGACCATGCAACCGAACAGATAAAGAATAAATGCGTGGAATTTTCCTCAACCAATTTACAGAGAGGGCATAAATCGTCCTCAATACCTTGAATACCTCTTAATCAATTCGGATTTAACAGCTAACTTACAAAGCACAACCTGCCACATTAAAGATTCAACTCTAGGGGGTACCAAACCTCTCCAAATAATTTTATTCCAGAAACGAACTCCATCTGAGCCTGAAGCACAACTTTATATACAAGAACTGACTGAAAAAACACCATCCCCACTGCCTTTCCAAAGTAAAATATCACTGGAATCTTTAGACAAAGAATAGGGAGAGATGATGCTCACTAAGTTGCACCATTGTTCAACCTCCCAATCGTTTAAATTTCTTCTAACTTGAACATCCCAAACCCAATCAGATGGAAGGAAATCCCCAAACTCACAAAGTTTGCCAAATCTATTAGAAGAAGCCGAAAACAATCTAGGGAAAAGAAACTGAAGCGAATAGTCTGCAGCCTAACTATCTTGCCAAAAACGAATAAGCTTACCATTTTCAACATGAAAACTGCACAAACTTCGAAACTTAGAACCAAATGAGTCTTGCTTGTAATGATTGTTAACCACCGATCTCCAAAGCCAATAAGATTGAGGAGAAATCTTGCTATCGAACAGTAACCTTGAAGAATCAATGTTGTATTTACTACAAATAAAATTCCTCCAAACAGAATTTCTCTCATTTGCAAATCTCCAAGACCATTTCCCTAGCAATGCTCTGTTCATACTAGTCAGGTTTCGGACTCCCAAGCCTCCCTCATTCTTAGGTTTACACACATCATCCCATTTAACCCAGTGAATCTTCTTTGAACCATTTCCCCCTCCCCATAAAAAATTAGACATGATCGAGTTGAGAGCCATAAGGATTGAAGCTGGAATCTTGAACATAGACAAGAAATACGTAGGCAGTGAGGAAAGAACCGATTTGATCAAAACCAGTCTCCCTGCTAATGAGAGAGTAGCAACCTTCCAACCCGCTAATTTAGTATGAAAATTCTGCACCACTAGTTCCCAAATAACAGAAGCATTCTTAGTGGGCCCTAGTGGGAGACCTAGGTAGTTAGAGGGGAAACTCCCAATAGAACAGCCAATAGAAGCTGCCCAAGTCTAAACCTCCTCTTGGGAAATATTAATCCCAAACAATATGCTCTTCTTAAGGTTTAGTTGTAGCCCTGACATAACCTCAAAAACTCTGAGCACCCTCTTCACATTCATAATCTGCGTTTTCGAAGCTCCACAGAAAATAATTAAGTCATCCGCAAACTGTAAGTGTGTGAGCTTAAAAGATCCTTCCTCCTTGCCAACTGTCAAACCAGAAAATAATCCCTCAGAAACAACCCGTAGTATTAATAGATTCAACAACTCCCCTACTAGATTGAATAACAAAGGTGAGAGTGAACATCCCTGTCTTAGACCCTTGGCCATAGAAAATTCCTTGGTTGGAGCCCCATTGACTAGCACTGAAATGGAGGCTGTAGAGACACATTTCCTAATCCAGCTTATCCAAGTCGAACCAAAACCCATCTTTTCCATCACCTTGAACAAAATAGGCCAATCAACCGTGTCATAAGCCTTTTTAAAATCAACTTTGAGAACACAACCCTTTAGCCCTTTCTTCCTCCAATAATCAATGCCCTCGTTAGCAATGAGGGAGCAATCCAAAATTTGTCGACCGGGTATAAAAGCAAACTGAGATGGGCTGATGATATCTCTTATACAGCTTCTAATCCTCCTGGATAGACACTTGGATAGAATCTTGTATACACCTCCTACTAGGCTTATAGGTCTATAATCATCTAGGCTCCCAATGTTAGAACCCTTTGGAATAAGGGTGATAAAGGTATGGTTAATACCATGTTCCCAATCTTTCCCCACATAGAATCTGTGAAAGAACTGCATGATGTTTCCTTTAAGAACAGACCAAAACCTTTTGAAAAATCCCAAGTTCAATCCATCGGGCCCCGGAGCTTTATTACTATCGCAAGACTTCAAAGTCTCCCAAACCTCCTCCTCTGAAAATTCCTTCTCTAAAAGAATGCTTTGATCCACGGAAATTCTAGGAAAAATCAACCCGATGTCTTCAACATCCAAAGTAGACCGATTATTGAAAATATTAAAAAAGTGCTCTTTAACAGTGCCCTTAATAACAACTGGATCATGAGTAATATTCCCATCAATTAATAAAGCATTCAACGCATTTCTTTTTCTTCTAACTGAAGCACAAGTATGGAAAAATCTTGTGTTTCGGTCCCCATCATTAATCCACTTCTTTCTAGAATTTTGATACCAAATATGTTCCTCAATTCTAAGGAGTCTCCATAACTCTGATCTGCAAACACTTAACTCCTCGACTTTCCCCTGAACCGAACTGTCATGCAACTGCTGAACATCCTCCTCTAGCTTATGAATTCTTTTTTCCAGATCTGAGATTGAAGCTCCTGGAAACTTATTCTTCTGCCCTGCCCACTTTTTAATGGCAACCTTAGACTTCTTCAGAACATTTAGGATTCCAGCTTTTCCCCCAGCCTTCTTACAATCTGCTATAGTATGACAAACCATTTCCTCAAAACCTTCTTCCTCCATCAAATAATTAAAAAGTTTGAAAGGCTTTTTCCCCCAATCAACTCCACCATCTTGTACAAGAATAGCATTGTGGTCTGAAATATATTTAGGAATAAGTGACTGAATTAATTCAGGAAAAGCATCCAAAAATTGTCCATCCACCAAGAACCTGTCCAACCTAGCAAAAGTTGGATCATCTTGGTTATTGCACAAAGTGAACCTTCCCCCATTCAATAGCAGATTAATTAGGCTTGAAGATTGAATAAATTGAGAGAAAATTCTCACAGAGAATCTGTTCTGAGCTCTGCCCACCTTCTCATTCTCACACAAGTAAACATTAAAGTCCCCTCCAATACAAACCGGTAGATTCTGTCCAGAAATGAACACGCTAAGTTCTTCAAAAAAACTTTCTTTTTCTTCTTCCACTGAAGGACCATAAACGTTGATGAGAACACTTCTGAACTGTTTAAGTATGAATTTCCCTACAACCGCAATGAATCTTCTGTTAATGCTGTGATTTTCCATCTCAAACACATTGTCATCCCAACAAAATAATAACCCCCCTGAGGAACCAGTAGCTGGAGATTCGATAACTCCCTGAAAAATAGTCAATCCATTCCTTCTCAAAAAAGACCTTTGTGTCTTCTCTGCTTTAGTTTCTTGTAACCAAAGAAAAGAAGGATGAGAGTTAGAGACTAATCTCTGATATTGCTCTCTGTTTCTCTCTTTTTCCTAAAGAAATGCCAGAATTGTAGTAAGACAAATGTTTATCCACAACACAACCCTCAGGCTCTCCAACGAAACTACCGACACCAACTTTATCCACATAATTTGGATCCTCACTGCCCCGTAAATTAGTCTCTGCTGTTGTAGAAATCTGTTGAACCGTCTTGCAAACCTGATCATTAGACTGCTTTGGACTTAGAACATCCTTTGTACCATTATTTCCTTTTTGGTCATTCCCATACCAGTAGTTCCTCTCCTTACATCTTCTGTAGACTCTTCTGAAGCTGGCCATTTTCCTCCTCTGAAAAGGCTCACTTTTTGTAGAAAGGGAACTTCTATGCACAACCATCGTTTTACCCCTAGAGAAACTCTTTGATAATTCTGAATTAGGGACTATCAGCTTAGAGTTAGTTTTTTTAACCTCAAAATCTGTGCTGCCAGACAAACCTGGAATAGAGCAGTACCCCTTATATTGTTTTCTAGCACAGCTAGCTTCTGCAATTTCCCTATTCTGAACCAATTTACCAAATTTATTGATTGTATAAGCTGGCCCAGAAGGAATTATGTTAGCTTCTGCAATGAATTTTTTTTTTTGAAAGTAATAATTTTATTGAATAGGGAAAGTAGCACATTGAAAGGGACCTCGTTAAAAATCCTCCCTAGACCTAGGTGGAGGAAAAAGAGTGCTCCCAATACAATGGACAGGAAGCATAACCAAACCAGAGAATTAAACAAAGGAAACACATACGCACGAAACACATACGCACAAAACACAAAACCAAGCAGCCAGCAGAATTAGACTGATTTCATAACTCACATATACGAAGATTGCTGATCAACCATTTGACTTCCTAAATAAATGCCTACAACTTAATGAGACTCAAATAAAGCTTTATGATACTAAAAGCACAATTTTCATTAAACAAGTATTCTCTTTTCTTTAAATATTTTTTCCTGGACCTTCGAGGTAGCACTCGGTAGATTCCACAAAACACATTTAACACGAAGTTTACAGTGAAAGAAATCAATAGAATAAGCAGTTCCACATACTTGCTTAAGCCTTCGGAGTTCTCTTTTTGCAAGTTTTTGCCTCCAACGACATTGTATTGCAATGATATATTTTTTATAATTATGGAAAGCAGAGCGGAATCTGTACAATCTCCAATGAGCCTGCTCAATGCAAGAAACAGAAGACATTAAGAGTCAAATTCCAGCCTGCGGAGGATTTTTACCCAAAAACAAGCAACAAAGGTGAAAAAGCTTCACAAAAAGCAATTAGACGATAAGCATGCAATGAATTTGAGGACAGTCGAAACACATTAATTGCTTATCACACACATGCCCAGAGTGCAACTTCCTAAAACCATGATGAACATAATCATATACATATTGAAAACCACATGATAGCATATGAATGCACAGAAATATGATCACTTTTTGCTCACCTGGATCACAGTGGCAGCTCGATGCTTCTTTCCATGCAAAAACTTTTGACGAGTTGAAAAGCCACGGATGTTGGACTGTAAAAAAACAGCTGCCGAGAATAGTTTCAGATAAGCATGCCTCAATAGCCACCTCCGGGCATATTTCTGTAAACAAACAGCCGCTGCTGCCTCTCTTCTTGCAGCAAACATCTTTCGAGCAAGGCATCCTGCAGAAATCATGATAACTTTGACACTAAAGCAAAGATCAAACATGAGACAATTTATCTTGTGAAAAGGACAGTTAATGACCAAAATACACTTTGTTATCAGAAGAGGCTAAATCATTTATAGTATTATGCAATGAAAAATTTGATTTAAGATTCTGTATTTTAAGTTTCATTAGTTAGGTACTTTGTTTTCTTTAGCTTAATGAGGGTTATATTTGGAATCTTCATTTAGAACTAGGGTTTCATGAATTCTCATTATATATTTTGAACATTGAAGTTATGATGTAGATAGATTGAATAATTTCGAGATTCGATTCTCTAGCATCCTCCCTTTTTCCTCTGTTCACCTAAATTCCTTCTATTTCCTTTTTCTAGCTTCTCAAGTCATATCTACCCTTGTGTCTTACATCAGATATTAATTTTGTGAGGAAATGAAAAAAAAAACAGCCAAGCATAACCTTTGACGAATATATAGAAGAAAAAAACTTAAAGAAAAGGAAGTTTCAAGCAATTAAACAAAAAAAATGAATTAAAAGTAATTTATGTAAGAAAAGTAGGTGCACTGTCCAGAGAGAAAACCTCTACAATATGCTTGGAGTGCAATTGCAGCAACCCTGGCTGAAATAAACTTCCTACGTGCAATAAATGTCCGCAGACGGTGCTGAATACATTTCGCAGATGTATCCAAAACCTCAGCCCGTCGTGAATCTAAAACACCTATCTGACCAGCTCTAAGAAACACTTTTGTCTTGCCCAACTGCAAAAAATATTTGAAAACAGAATCAGAAAAATTAGGCCATCAAAAAATTGAAAAAGAAGCAACAAAAAGTTAAAAATAATTTTAATTATACAATGTTAATCATGATTACCTGAAAATTTTGAAGGTTTAACTTCTGCAGAATTTTTTCTGTTAATGCCTTTTCATCATAACTGCAAATATAACTTTAAAGTTAAATAAGAAACAGAAAAAGAGGGTTTTTAACGAGGCCTATAACTCTTATAAAAAGAAACAGAAAAAGAGCTATCAGAGAACAGCAAAATGGAGAAGAAATGGATTTCTTTAGAAGAAATTCTGGAAAAACACAGCCATCGGGAAGCAAGGAAGCCCTTTACTATTCAGAAACAAAGAATAACAAGTTGTAAGCAAATTCCTGAGAAACCTAGATGTGCAAGGTACAGCACAGACAGATTTTAACAGAAATGAAAAAAGGGATTACTACATGGAATATGGAGACTTACCAATTATAATTTAACCATCCTAACAAGAGAACCTATAAGAAAATATGTAGTTTGACATGTGCTATGGTAATCTGCATGGCATGCAGGTGTATCTATAAAACATTTACTACCTTGTATCCATGAAATCTGAAGCTAACAAGCCAAAGCGATCCACAAATTCAGAATAAGTTCGTCGAGTTGGATAGCCAGCTAGACTTATTCGAACAGCCTCCAGAACACCCTAAATTCAAATCAATAAAGTTATCTTAGCAAATCACATCTATAGAATCTACCAAGAATCAAGACCTGGAAGAGTAAGATATCCATGTGCCAGATTAATACAAAATGTACAGGCAGTAACATTGAAATTAGAAATATAAAACCAATCAAGAATCAATCATGTGTCACTTGCACCAGGGATCTCTGCCATCAATTAAGTAGCGCACTAAGTATTTGACCTGATTGATGTTATCGGGAATTTCTTGTAACAGGCTTGTCTATTCTATTACTATATCAGAAAGCAACATTTTCAAGTCTGATTGAAAATGCAAAAGTTATGCATTTGTTGTTATTAAGCTTTTAAAATACTCCCCTGCCATTTTCGTGTAGAAATGAATGCTGTAGATTATAGATCCCTGAATAATAGTTAGTTAATTTAGTTTAGTTTAAAATTCAAATTTAATCTGTTAGTCTTATCTCTAATATGTTCTGCAAAGTTTTACTTAGGATTGTTCTCTAAGAGTTGTATAAGTTAAGGATATCTCTTCATTTGTAATTAAGTGAAATTAAAAATAAAATCTTAGAGAAAGTTTATTCTCTAAAACTTACAAATACAGACTCATAAATCAACTGAAATCAAAGAATTTCCTGAATGAAATGGAGCCAAGACACACAGATGTGTTATCCATGTAAAGAAAGAAAAGAAAATTGTAGTCAAAGAGATTAGGAAAGTAAAGAGCAAATATTTATGTAAAAATGGACGGCCTAGGTCAAATGTTACAACACACTAATCAACATCAGGAGCACAAAGCTTTAGAATGGCATTTCGATTGTGATTGATAGCACTTTAATTCAAAAAAGGAAGCATACATAAAGAGACAACATACCCCACAACGCAGTTGATGAAGGATACTGAGGTTCTCAAATTTTTGAGGTCGGTTCAATGAGTTTGGCTTCACACAGCGTATATAATGAGGTTCTGTTGAGTTGAGGGTTTCCATGAGTGCTTGAAGTTGTTGCTATAAAGAAAACGAAAAATAATTAGCAGCATTGGCATTAACAAATTAAAGACATTATGTTTGATGTGCTTACAGTGAACAGAAAACCCTCATCAGTAAATCACATGTAAATAGATATACTAACAGGGAAATCTTTTAGTAATCAAGCCACTCAACCAAGAACATCAATAAAGAAAATAAATCATCAAAATCTTCAAAGCCATCCCACTTCCTAAAAGTAAGGTCCAAGAAAGAATAATATCAACACCGCAAAGAAGAAAATATACGAGCAGCCAAATTTCCTGTAACAAGTTTATTGCCTTAAAAAATATCATCAATGACATGCCTGAACCTTCACAAGGGCTACCTAAAACAAGTGTTCAACTATGTTAGATGGACTCAGGTATGAGTAGTCAATACAAGTCTGTGTCCATGTGTTAGATTCATCTTCTGGTAAATATGGTACTCACAGATTCGGCTAAAAAATAAGATTAAAAAAAGGGATCATCGTAAGAATTTGTACGAATATAATAATACTACTACAGAATTGGGGTTTTCAGATTTTCTGTACAAGAAAGAGACCTTAGTCTGAATAAAAATCAAAATGTCATACACATTCCACACACAAATCCATGCCGTCACATCAACATGTATAGGAGGTTAAAAAATGCCGAGTCCATGCACAAAGAACTAAAAGAAACAGTTTTCGAATCATAGATTGGACTCGAAGTTAACTTCTCAAGTGACAAGCATATTAATATCAACAAGAACTAATAAAAATTATCTGAATATATCATATGGCATAGCTAGTAAAAACTTCTTCAAATCTCTAACTCCTAAGGAAAGCCATCAAAACCAAAAAGGGTTCTGTACCTTAAATCTTGTGGAGACTGAAGAAAATTTGTACGATGATCTTGAAGATTCCACCGGAGGTGAAGGGAAAAGACTCGCCACGAATTGGCATTTAGAAGAAGCCAAGAGATTACAATGTTCTACTACAACATAATCCCGGTTTTTGTCTATAAAGGAATCTGTTTGATAAGTAACCTAAAAAGAAAGGAAGTACATCATTACTATATCTGCCATATCTGAACATAGTTATATTATCTAGGGCACAATATTCCACCACTTGCCTTGCCAGCATAATGGGAAACAGTAAAATCTGTTTCTGAAAACTTAGCCTTCTCCAATCTCAGGTGACCTCGAAAATTCTGAAACAATTTGGTCGATAATGTTTCATGTGTGGATTTTGGGAACATGCTGCACAAATATGAAAATCAGGATAAGGATTAACAGAAACCATTAAATAGTATAGAACAGCACACACCACTTTGTAATGAAGGATTTAATCCATACCAAGCTTCATCCAAGAGAGCAATGATCCCAATGGGTTTCTGCATATGCAATCACAATAGTATAAGGTTCAATGGGAACAAAGAACATTTAAATGGAAAGAAGAACATTCAATCTGTCTTTCATGTTGATGCAAAAATATTTCTCCTAGCATGGGCTGATTTGAGGATTAATTCAACCATATGGTCATTTATTCCAGGGGTTGTCCTATGGACAATTTGGAAATTCAGAAATTATATTGTTTTTGAAGGAGGAAAGGTAGATCAAGCAGAACTCTTCTTTTTAGCTAGATTCAGGCTAGCTTCATGGTACTTAGCTAAGTACAAACAGGTTTCGATCTCTAAGGATTTGCTTATTTCAGATCCTTCCTTAGGGGATTCATGTTCTCCTAACTCCAAACTGATTGCAACTGTGATTAATTGGTCCCCTCCCCCAAAGGGCTTCATCAAATTAAATGTCGATACTGCTACTACTACTGACTGGAAGAGAAGTGGGATAGGTGGTGTTTTGAGAGATGATAACGGGACAATCATTGACTCTTACAAGGAATCTGCAGGTCCTGATCCTCCTACTTTGATGGAATTGAAATCTATCCTAAAGGGCTTATCTTTCTTTCACACTATACGACACAGATTAAAGGATCGGTTGATAATTGAGAGTGACTGCAGGGTGGCAGTTGACTGGGTTAGGGATTTCGTTTCATGTCCTGCTGTTTATGCTTACATCGTTAAAGATATTATTGAAAAACTTAGACTGTGTGAAGGTGTTATTAGATGGGTTAATAGGGCAGCTAATCTAGAGGCGGACGCTCTAGCTAAGGCTGGAATTGGTTAATATTTATGTTGTTTTTAAGGTTGTAACTATTTAGGTTTTTGATTTCCTTCAAGGAGTTTTAATTTTTTGTAATATATTGTATTAAGTTTATTATTAATAAATTCCAAGGCACTCTTTTCCTCCTTCCGTTGATTAAGGAACTTTTTCAGAGTTCCATTAATCATGAAGGGGGTTTTTAATGAGGCCTAATATTCCTATCAAAAAAAAATTAAATATCATAATGCTGCAAATTTCAAGTGCACATCCTGATGGTAAACTCATCCTTGCCCCTAAAAGAAACACTACTTATAATAACAGCATAGGTAAATGACACAAAGCTCTGAAGTAATCCAACCGTATTAGGGGATATTGCAAGTGAAATCCAAATAAACCATGATGATAACTGCAGAATCTTAGATGAGACTACCATGATCATATTATAAGCAAGATAAACATAGCAAAAGCAATGTTCTACTGCCGACAGGAATAACAAACAGATAATACATTTTTTTTAGAAGACCATGAATAAAAACCTTCTCAATCAGATCCAGAACATCTTGGTTGTCTATAAATTCGATGTAGCTCCAATTAATTTCTTCTTTCTTATACTCATCCTGTTCCATCTTGAATACATGCTGAAATAAGTGAAGAAAAGAATATAAGAAAAAAACAAGTAAACTGGACAGAATAGCACAAACAAAATGAACTTAGACTTCATTACATAGAAGATTGATTACTAACCTCATTGAAATGCTGCTGAAGCTTTTCATTTGCAAAATTAATGCAAAATTGCTCAAAACTAGGGCACAGAAGATGACAATCAATCAAAGAAAAGAAACAGGAATACAAGTCTAAGTATTGAGAAATGCAAAGCACTAGAGAGTACATATGCATACATCACATAAGATACACTAAAGCAGTAGATTTAAACAACAACAACAATAGTAATAATAATAACAAATAAAAACATTAAATGAACATACAAAACCAAATAATTGAATTTACCTATTATGCCTAAAGCATTCAAATCCATAGATGTCCAAAACTCCAATTTGTACACGGGAATCCGGATCTTGGCCCACAGACAAATTAATCTTATCAACAAGCCTTAGGAAATAAAAAGAAAAATTCAGAACAGAAAAGATTTAATTATCATACAAAATATACATTATAAAATAAATGTCTATAAACATGCATCAACATAAGCATACCAATCAAACAATCGAGAATAAACTGTCTTTGCCAATGCATCCCGACTAGCCACAGCAGCATTACAATCAAGAGCTTTAACAATACTACCTTCACGGGTTTGAATGGTACGAGTACACAATGTCGCCAACAAGAGGTTCACATCACACCTGGTAAATGAACAATTTGGTAACGTGCCTAAGAAGAGAATAAAAACCTAAAAAATGAACAATGGAAATCGAACAGATCAATGAGTGGCTGGCTTGAACTAGCCAGCAACCTACAATTTCATTGCCGGTCTGCAAGTTACAGACTATTTAATAAACTCAACCCCCATGACAAATATTAGGTGTTTAAAATATATACTTTTATTGCTGAAATTTGACCTAATTATACAATAAACGTTTACATACACTAATGATAATTAATTACGACTTTGATTTTCATCTTTTTCGTTCCAAACAATATTGAAATATTATATTAAGAGGTGCCCCATTAAGTAACCAAACTCAAAAGGATGATTATCAAAGATTTATTAATTAGCACACCAGTCACAGAACAAATCAACATAAACTATTGTCGACCAAGTAAACAACGCGATTCCCAAACCAACCCTCAAGTTCCATTTGGTAATTTTGCCTTTAGATTGTAAAAACATCCAAGAGGAAGGTAACATGATTGATACTTTACTCAAGAATATATGACTGAAACAAGACAAGAACAAAATCTATCTTCTAGTATCACCCACCGAAAAAGATCAGCAGCCGTCTGCAAATGGAACGTAGATTTCTGATCTTTAATAACTGAAGAATCGTGCTCTCTTCCAGGGGTAAATTCAATGTTTCCCAGGTGCAAAATAGCAGCCAAGGTGCGAAAAATAGCTTCCTGACAAAAAAATGACAATAGCATACGGTAGTTCAGGGAAAAATAAATTAAAGGCACAAGCGAGTGTGATATTCTCAAACCTGATCCTCATGACTGATTCCAACAATATCCATTGCCCTCCTTGTCTTCATATATTCCTCCGCATTGCTCACTCCTTCAAGTTCGTATGTCTTACTTTGATTTAAATAATGAAAGTGGCTTGGATGGCCTAATTTGTACTTTCTGCATCCTGAACAAAGTGATAGAGATGAAAATATCCCAGTTAAAGGATTAAGTGTGTTAACAAAAAAACAGTAGTATAGAAGTAGAAACAGCTATCAGCACTACACAGATTTCCTATAAGCATATTATGTTAACAAAAACATTTGCAGGACACATTAACAACACAGATAAGGGGGAAAAGAGGGATGCACATTCATACAAAATGATCTCATAGAATGTGTAGATGTATACAAAATAAACATGATACTCACAATAACTGAAAGTGCAGCACTCTACAACATTAAACAGAACATTCACAAGCATATATAGGGTGTGTAACAAATTGTACACATGCATAAACACTGTAAACCAAACAATGGAAGAGAAAGAGAAAAAGAGACATATATGACCAAAAAACAAGATAAAGAAAGACAGATTACTTTCCCAGATGCACACAACTGATAGAAGCAATGATAATTCCTCTCAGGATCTGTTATCTGAACAACACGGGACCGTTCAAGAAGGTAAGTTCTAACTGCAGCACCAGATATTCTACCATTTGCATCAAATTGGATCTCAACAAACTTGCCAAAACGACTGCCACACACAAAATAAAGGATTAAGCAACAATACAAGAAGATAAGTAAATTATATCTTCCGTCACTTCTAACTTGTCAGCATACAACAGCAAACTGGCATGTATTATGCAAAATAGCACAAGCTTAACATATTCTAAGTTGCAATGATATGGCTCTATGTGACATAATTCAAATAAAGTCATCTTATATTCCTCCATCTTGATGCATTTAAAACATATGTTGATACACAAACAAAAGAACAAACTACTTGGTTTCATCCATCTTAAACAATTACAGGTCACTCAATAACCATTACTCATCAAGAATAACCATATAAAGACAGTAGTGAAGGCAGAATCGAAGATGAGAGAAACAACATGGATTAGTATGATCAGACCAGTAACAATTTAAAGGAAGATAAACTCTTACTTCAAACTTCATAGTAATTAGGTCTACATGAAAAGGATTATAACCGTACACACTGCTGGTGAGTCTATAAACTCAATAAGTAGTAGATCTATACACTAGCCAGTAGCCACATGTATTTTGAGAAAAGGATTCTGAAGCTCACCTCGAATTGTCGTTTCTAACAGTCCTTGCATTTCCAAAAGCCTCCAATAGTGGATTTGACTGAATCATAAAGGAAATGAAATCAAGAGAGTGTCGGCAACAAAGAGGGGCGGTGCATTCCCAGAGTATGTAAGAAAACATGACCTAGGCTAAACCAAATAATTAGTTTATATGATCCTTTATTAAACTTCAATAAAAGTATAAAATAAGAAAAATAAAAGTTTGTACCATTCTAAAAGTAATCTGCATCAACCTAGAGCAAAAAATGTAGTAATTGCATAACTTTCATAAAACAGTGGGCTACTTGCCATGCCAGTCCACCCACCCCCCAGGAAAAAAGAAAACACACAAACACAGAGACCGTATTTAGCATTAAGAGAAAAACCTAATAAGAGAAACAAGAAAAAAGAGTATATATGTAGCCATTGCGTTCAAGTGGTAATTAAGTTAATCAATTCATGTAATCTTACTTCAAGAACTTGCTGCTCGACAGTTCGGTCATCACCGGCTGTGCGGCCTCCAACAAAAGTAAGATATTGCATAATTAGCTTTGTTGTCTCAGTTTTACCAGCCCCACTTTCTCCACTGACTAAAATAGACTGGCTTCGACCCTCATTCATCATTGCCCTAGGTAATAAACAGAGGAATTAATAGATAACGATTAAATCATGCCATCTGCAGGGCATTATGGATCAAGCGTTCAGGGAAAGATGACATACCTATATGATACATCAGCCACAGCAAAAACATGGGGGCTTAGCTCACCAAATGGCGCACCCCTGTACTGCTCCATCATATGCACATTGTAAAGATGAGGAAGCTTTGTGAATGGATTAACTGCTATCAAAATGCTTCCTGTATATGTCTACAAAAGAGAAGCTTTTTAACTGATTCTGGTAGTTGAAAATGTACCAACCAAGGATACTAAGGAAATCAGAATAAGTTATACAAAGAAAACACAAGTATACATGCAAACACATCACATAACCCATGAGAATAAAAAAATTATTTCTTTTTAAGCTAAAAACATGTTAATCGCAATTAGCTAAATATCACTAATAACGGCATTAAAAAATCGGAGTCAATCACTAATGAACACATACTGAAAGTATGAAACTCGATTAACCAAATTTGACAGATACAAATTTAGTCAACAATGTCTTATCAAATAAATAAATCTCTGCGAGTAAGAGAAAGAAACCATGCCTGGATAGCGATTAGTGATCTCTGCAAGTAACAGGTTCATATGGTATGCCAATTAAAACAACATAATGCGAAAAAAAAACCTAAGTTAAGTAAATAATGCCAGCATTATATTACTTAAAGACACAGTCAAAAGGTGTTGTTATTTAGTTAAGATAGTCTATAACATAACATCTAAGCCGAAGAGGAAAGCAAAACTCTAAAGTTGGTGCGCAGGAAACTCTAAATTTGGGAATAAGTAAGAAATACATTAAAACGGAAGACTTGCATGCCTTCAAAGAATCTAAATGGGTTTCTTAATTAATGTGAGGGAATAACTAGTTCTCCTGAGTAAACAAAATTAAAGCATTTATAAGAAGCATATTTTTAACCAAAATTGGAACACATGCTGCATAATGGATATTGTACTCCATAATTTCACTGACATGTAACTCAAAGAAAATAAGTCCGATGCAGCAATTCGGACCTCAGCAGGACTTCAGCATCAAATATAACTAACAAATTAAACATGTTGACCTTATATTTTAATCATTAGCATTTTGACCAGCTACAAAGATGATATGAGCGAAAAACAATAATTTGGTTCAGAACTAAGCATAATTTTAAACATCACTCCAGGAATTAACAGATTTAAACTTACATAAATATCATTCAAAGCATATCTCCTCTGAAGATTATAGAGAACACCAGGCTCATTCAAATAAGTCAACTTTGTCATATCATCAACACCGCCATGTTCTTCCTCTTCATCCGCATCTCTGGGAAACACTTTCTCTGGCAACGCCAACACCTGAACGACGAAATGAAATAAAAATTTCAAAATTGAGCAAACAGAAACAGTTTAAAATGCCCAAAAAAAATAAAAATAAATTAACTGAAGTGAACGAAACTTATACCGTTTTACCAGAGGCAGGTTGGACTTGGACCTGTTTGCCTCTAAGATCAGTAATTTCAGCTGCTACCCAGGCCAAGTTCTTGTCTTCAACCCACACCTTAGCGCCCTTGCGCAAGTTCATGTTTCGTTCCTGGAAAAAATTCAAAAAACCAATAAAGCAAGAAAGAAAACTAATTAAAATGAAACCCTAAAGAATCTCGCTTCAGTTTGTTTGTTTGTTTGTTACAGTGAAGTGAAATGCGGGTACGACGAGTGTGACTTCGGAAATTTCAAAGAAATCCTAGATGGAGACAGAATGACAAAACCGATAGAGAAAGCGAGGGAGGGAGGGAGGGGAGAGAGAGAGAGATTACGGGCATGTTTTTAGCTGTGAATTTTTTTCGACTTCCCGCCCTAACTGATGCTGTAGACTCTGAACAATATTTTTTTTTTTTTGATAAATCAGAATTTATTATCCAAAATAATAATGTTAAACTACAACAAATCAGCCAACAAAGAGATAAAACAACCTAGATGCAAAAGAGCCAAAGCTTGGTTATATTATATCCCAAGCATTATAAAGCAATTAGTTAGTTCTATCAAGTCTATTAATAGTTTTGCCCTTAAGTCTAATACTAATAGTTTCAATAATATCATTAAGCAAAATATCGATTGATCTTTGCCGACCCTGGAAAATACGTTGATTCCTTTCCTGCCAGATGAAGTAGATAAAAGCGTTCCAAGAAATCTTCAATAAGGTGGAGATAAGAGACTTCCCTCTCCAAGTTATGCTAGCCCAAGATGCCATAGTTTCCCAAGTAAGAGGAGTAATAGTCATATCGTTCAGTTGTAAAACTGTTTTCCAAAGTCCGATAGCAAAAGGACAGTGAGAGAATAGGTGATCTCGCGATTCTTGATATTGACAGCAGTTAACACATGTAGAATCAGAATATAAACCCAATTTCTGCAACCTGTCTCTGGTTGGTAACCGATTCAATAAGGCCATCCATGAAATCAAACTGTGTTTTGGGATATGCAAAGGATACTAGATAAGTTTGTGCCAACAAACCTTCATGCGTTTTATCCGAATCTTATCCCATACTTCCTTGATCGGCTGATGAGCAGCCGAGACTATAGGGAAAGCAATAGATCTCAACTTGAGAATTCAACAAAAGCTCCAGCTGACATTAGATCCAGCTGCAAAAGTCCAGAAATCGTGCTCCTTTAGGACATAGGATTTTAGCCATGCAACCCATAAAGATCCATCGCCTGCTAGAATTTTTCTAATAAGATTGATGGTACAAGCTTTATTCCAAATAGCAGTGTTTTTTAAACCTAGACCTCCTTCATATTTCAGCAGACATATGGATTCCCAACTGACTCTAGCACCGGCTGTTGAAGTATCAGCTCCTTTCCAGAAAAACCTGGAACAGAGTTGATCCACAGATTTAAGAATGGAAGCAGGAAGTATGAGTTGCCTGCACCAAAAGTTACAGACGCTGAACAGGACAGAGCGAATTAGCTCAAGCCTGCCAGACCAGTGCTGCAAGCGTTGCCTGATTTTACCGAGTAAAGGCTCGCAGTCTTTGGCAGTTAATTTCCTTGTAACGAGAGGAATGCCGAGGTATCTGACAGGCAACGACCCAATCTTGAAACCAGTAAAGAGTTTAAGATCCTCTAACGTCCTTGAAGAAATACCTGCTGCAAAGAGTTCACTTTTTGAAGAGTTAAGATTAAGCCCAGAAATTTGGTAAAAGCGATCAAGAACACTTAGGACACCAATCACCGAATCAACATTGCTTTTACAAAAGATCAAGAGGTCGTCTACGAAGGAAAGGTGAGTTAGCCCAATCTTCTTACACTTTGGGTGGAAAGCAAAAATGCCTTTAGCAGCAGCCAAATTGAGCATATTTGACTATGAACAATATCGAATGAGTATTTTTCTTCGTTTTTTCCCCGTTTTTCATTAATATTTCGTATCCGACACGTCACTCTTTACAGTACACCCTTTTGCCTTGCTTGCATTTCAATTTTGGAGCGGGGCAGTTTGCTTTGACTGTTTGTTTGGTTGCTGGGAAAATTGAAAAATTTATCTTCGAAAAGAAAAAAACCAATGTTTTGAAACTTCGAATTTTAATAGTTTTTATATGCGCGGGGACGTCCATGCTCATGACATATCCCATAGCCATGAACTGTGGTTTCAGCTAACTTTCTTTCCCTTCCTTTCTTTCCTTCAACGCTTCATTCCCATTTATATTTCTCCTTTTTTCCTTTTTTTTAAATAACATAAAATAAAAATAAAAATGAAGCCATTCATTCCTCATTCCTCATTCGAAAATTCAAATTTCTTCTTTAAAAAAATGCAAGTTATATTGGGTGGCGGTTTTAATATACAGTTAAAAAATACGTTATTAATTTTGTTATTATTTTTTATTAAAATCGGTAAAAAATTACCTAAAAATATTATTACTTCTACCTAAAACATTAATGTTTTTTAATATTTCCGGTAAAGTGCTAAATAATAATAAAACCGATAAAAAATAATATTTTATTTAACATTTTACTAGATATGTTAACAAAACCGATAAAGCACACAATAATAACAAAATTGGAAAAAAAATAATGTTTCTAGTAATATTTTACCAGTTTTGTTAAAAAAATAATAACAAAATTAATAACACTTTTTATTAATCGTATATTAAAACGGCCGCACGTGATATTTTTAGAAAAAATAGAAATTCCAAATTTCAAAATCCACTCCATGCGAGACTTATTGATTCATTTTTATTTAAAAAAAAAATTACCATAAAAAGCACATGAAAAGAAAGGACCGTTTTGGTAATTTTTGTTGTTAGGTTATGAACAGCGCAATGGAATCCACATATTCCCAGACTTTAGTTTATGGTAGGCATTATTGATGGCAATTTCGATATGGTTAATGTTTGGTTCATGTTGGGTCATGTCAGATTTTTAAAAAGATGAGGTCGGGTCGGGTTAATTTTGGACGGATGGTGGAAAATTTTAATTTAGTTTGACCTGAATATAATAATATAATTTTTTAGTTAAATTTTTAATTTATATCGGGTCAAATTAGAGTGAGGTAGAAGATATAAAAAAATTTATTCGGATCGATTTGGATATAAGATATAAAATTTTACGATTAAATTAAGTTCATATAAAAGATATATAATTTTAGATCAAGTCAGATTGAAAAAAAAAAAATTGATTCGTTGTCATCCCTAAGCTTCAATGATGCAACCCAGAAAGCATGTAGGCGGTTTAGTCATTTCTGGCAGTATTAGAATGGAGCACAAAATGTCCACTACACTTGACAAATATATGAATTACCCCCACCGCATTGAATGGCCACGGCACGGATCCTTTTTATTATTATCTTTATACAACTTAAATGTTAAAAATTTATATTTAATTTAAATTTATCAGAGACTTATTATAAAATTTAAATCAAAAATCTATTTTTGGTTTAACTCAACATTGATAATGACTATTGGGCGATAAAATTTTTAGATTAAATTTTATTTATTTTAATCGAATCTTTTTACGAACTCAAAACTCGAAAAAAATTATAATAATAAATCAAGTAAAAGATCGACGAGTTCAAATATTTTAATAAATCCAATTAAAATCATCCGCTTGTAAACAACGTTTGAACGAGCTCATACCATTTAAACTTGACCAAAAATTGATTTTGTAGTTATCGGTTTAATTTTTATTGGTTTTTTATTTAAATTTTTGATATTTTTTCATATAGTTATTTATAAATTAAAAGTTAAAAGAATATTATTATATTTAAAAACAACGAGAAGTGCAAGTCGAAAAACAAAAAGGCACCTTCAAAGAGCTTACTAGAATGCTGCCATCAAATATGACGACGGTCAGAAGAGTTGTCGCTTGTAACCGCATTGAGGCGGCGAATACAACCAAAAATAAGGACCCCCACCATCTGTGCCGGTCGTAGCAGCCCCAGCTTCAGTTTGGTTCTTATTGTCAAGAATTTCCAAACTCTTCCCGTTGTCCATCAGCATTGGGAATGTTTCAGAAGGCTCGACATATTCGGATCGACATCCAAGTAAACGGCCGGTGATCGGAGAGAGGGTCGAGGTTTCAATACCACAGTTGGCGGCAAAAGTTTGGGCAAATTCGGAATCAGAAGGCCTCTTGGATTCTCATACAGCTTTACGATCACCTTGGTATGCTTTTATATATTGCAGAGCAATGCATGCCAGGCATGGGTTGTCAATGAGAGATGATGATTTGTATGCTGTCCTATTGGCATTAAGCACAGCCACCAACTCATCCGCAGGGTCATCGGTTACTTTGGCTACAGGTGAACAGTTCAATCATTAGGAAGAAAAAAAAAAGCAGTTTTTAATCCAACTGTACATAAAGCTTAGAATGGGACGGGACTACACGAGAGGAAATAATCAATGATTGGTTGGTGCAACATTTGTTGTCAACCAAATGGAAATGTGGGGAAACATTCAAGATGATGTGCAAAAGAATCACAATTCCCTACTAATTATGGCATTTGATGAGTCGGTCCCTCCTGACAATATTTTGACCAGGTGCAAGGATGGCCATAGGATCGAAGCTTTCTTTCCTATCCACAAATCTTGTCCATTGGTTCCCAAAATGTCGTTTCCAATCCTCTGTCGATTGGTAGTGAGGGAGGTATAGCTTGAAATCCAAACCCTCTTTGATGCACCACTTCACAATCTCTTGGTTTTGAGCAACCAATTTCTCGACCGATGTGCCCTTCGGAACGAACCGGAGCAACGCCACGATGTAGAAGATTTCACCTTCCGGTAGCACCACAGACGTTCGATTATCCCATTTGAAAAATACACCACCATGCGTTTGTATAGAATAACATGATATCCATGTACTGTCTTGTTCATTTAGCACGAGTTTTCTATACAAATGATGTTATCCATTGTGGTTGAGCTCAGAGAAAGATGGTCCTACAGCCGTCATTATGCTATGAGAGATATTGGATTGGCTGACGATTGATGTCGTGGGCAAGTCGCATAATATTGTGGGGTCCCTTGTGGTTGACTCTTTTGAGAAAATATAACAGTAATACAGAATCACTTGACCCTCTTTCAGGTAGACATAACTATAAATCATCAATCAATCCTTAGTAGATTATTCGACGAGAAATTTATTTATATTCATTTATTAATGAATGAATTAACATGAATAAGATTTTATGTTCTTTTAATTAAATGAATCAACACGAACAACGAGTTAGTTTGTTCATTTACGTTCGTGAACGTTTGATAATTTATTCGTTTATGTTCGCTCATTTATGTTAAGTCTAATCTCTAGACCCGTTTAAAATATTAAAACATAATAAATTTTAACCTTAAACCCACTAATATTTTAAAACTCAATTAATTTTAAACCCAAATAAAAATACTCAAATCAATTAAAGAAAATATAAATCCAAAAATTATTTGGAAGAAGAAAAAAACTCTTCTCAAATATAAACACAATTAATTTTATGTTCGATTACGTTCATTTATATACATTCGTTTGTGTTTGTTTACGCTCATTTATTTATGTTCGTTTATCATTTTAATGAACGAGCATAAATGCACACGAACAAATTAAATTTCTTAACGAATGAACACAAATAAAAAATTTTGTTTATTTAATTGTTTGTATTTATTCTTTTCTTTAATTAAAATTAAACGACGAATATAAATATACCCTCATTTGTATTATCCAGATTCGTTTATTGGCCTACAGGTAGAATAAGGAAAACAAAATAAAATCTCAACACTTCACCCGATTTAATATGCTTAAGTGGATCCACATACGACACGTGTGGAGAAATTTTTACTCACTTGCTTCGAAGAAGAGGGTAGACCAGCATGGGCCCGCCGACTCCGTCTTTCAACATCGTTTTAAACACCGTCCGATCAAAGTTGACGATGTCTTATTTAGACACGAAGAGGTTCAACCAAGGGTGAGGGCTATCCCAAGAGCCATTGGCTTTCGCTTGTTCCTCCGCCGGCTCCGTGGCTGACATCCACCTGGTGATAAAATTTTAAATATCGTTAAATTAAAATTAAAAAAAATTAAAACTACAATTATTGAAATAGGAGAAAGAGTAAAGTTCAGTGAGTAAACGTGTTACTGAGTAAATGCTTGAGTGACCAAAAAATTCAATATTTAAAGTTCAATGATAAAATTAAAAGTATGTTGAGTGAAATAGGATAAATAATAAAATTCAGTGAGTAAACGTGTAATTTTACCTAAAACAAAAGAATTACGTGATTTAAGGACTTATTTTTACTTTTAAGTCAAAATTTAATTATTTTTTATTTAAAAATAGCAAACCCACCATGTCAGGAGCTGGCTGAAGCTTAATCCTTCCTTGCTCGGGTAATAATACCGAACTTACCAAGGCCGCCCAGGACGCCGAAAAAAGAGTTAGGAGTTCAAAGTTTCGGAGCAAACCGTTATTTATCCTTTCCCTGTTATAACTTCCAATTCGGTGACGTTAGACGTTTGTGGACCATAATGGAAGGTTTGTCCACTAACGCCGGCGTTAGATAAAGTCCCGCCTACCGTTAAGCTCAGGTAATCGGTCCACGACCTCGGAGCCAACCCGAACCTCAAGATGCACCGTGTCAAGACGTTTTCCCATAAAGCCCCACCGGAAACATCGATATAAGGAGAGTCAATGATCGTCAGGAATTCGAAATGGTTTTCCTCCGTCGAACGCATGTCAATCACCAGACCTCCGCCGGCCATCGCCTGACCGTTAATTGAGTGGCCGTTACCCCTTGCAGCAACCGTCATACCGGAGGTCCTCGGCGCGAACTTGAGGACCCGACTTATATCCTCCGCCCCAGACGGTTTAATTAAAAACAAGGGCTTGATCGAATAAAGACCGCCGAAATCTTTTCTGGCCGAACAGCTACCATCACTGCCTTCGATGCTGCTTTGGAGACGGAGGCATTTAGATATGGTGGAAACAATAGTCTAGTTTGGACTCGGCGTCATTATTTTCTCTAGGGTCTAATTGCGCCTTCGGTCCTCCACACGCTAGGAAGTTCAGTGTAAAATTTGATAGTCAAAGGAGCACTCTGATATCACTTCTAATAAGATCATTATCCTTTTCTCAAAAGACATATCTGATAGAATATATAACATCGTTGTTTTTAAACTCTTTTCTTTTCGACGTGAGATTAATGTTTCCACTTCTTGAAGACGTGATACAAGGAGACTGTTCTTATAAATGGGATTAAATCGAGGGCCTGGGCTAGCATAAATGTGCCACGGATATTGTATGCTTATAAATGGTTCAAATTATGGGACAGTGATCATCATTTTAATTGTGATTCTGAAGAATGATAATGATGGCAAAAGAGATCATTTGTGATGACTATATTACAGAATAAAAACACATCCCCTATCGAGCAAGGGCAATAGACAACACGACCGACAGTATTAGCCATCCTAGAAAGAAATATCCCACCAATCTCGTCGGCCCGACGTCCTCCGGTTCTTGTCACACAAAACTCTCGTTATGATTTGAAACCGCTAATTATAATTAACCGGCTAAAAACTAACTTGTGTGAAACGAAAATGGCCTGATTGATTACCCCTGGTGGAGGGTCCTCCTTGGGAGTTTGGGTGATATCCACCTCAAAAGGCCAGGCATATCTATCTGGGTTTTCAGTTCTTGCCAAGCTCCAGTCATACAGCCTTCTCTCTTCCACCGATGACAAAATCGAGTACGATTCCTGAGAAAGAAATGAAGTCCTCAGCTTATGTATGATTACGAACCTGTTCATAAGAACATCCACTTTGAAGGCCAACTCTACCATAGTGATCTACATCTGTTATTGCTGCATGCTAAAACTAAAAACTTGTCAATCGAGTGCAGTCTTTTCCTCAGAAATAATGGTAGTCCTATAAATAGAAATAACAGAAAAGGGTTGATCATGAGATTTACTGATGCCACGAAGAGCTCGTTCAACATTAAGAGCAGAGATTAGAGGAGGAGGTCCTTTAGGAGTTTCATCAATGGATTTTTCTGTTTCTGTTTCAGTGGCTGGTGTCTCGGCTGATACATCACCAGAGCTCCTGATGCTCAGTTTTCTACTCTGCTTTATTGAAAAATTGGTAGAATTTGAGAAGATGGAGGTGCTTCTGCGCGTTGGGGCATGAACGTTGTAGCCAGAAATGTAGAGTGTTGCAGCAGCGGTTGACAGAACCATGGCTTTTGTCACAGTTTTCTGCTTCTCTAGTTTCCAATGGGTTTTTCTATTCGACAAACACAGGAGATAAGACGTGAGCTTTTAACCAAAGGTTCATTATCTTCTCCAAGAACGTGTCAAATATTTTTTTTATAAAAAAACTCGTCTATTACAAGCTATGGGCCCCATTCAGTTCCATTTAACTCTTGCTAATGATTCTTTGATATTGGCAAACTGATGATGACCCGAGGTCATGCGTGACATATGGTAACACAGCTCAAGAATATGAAGCAATGCCGAACTACATTCGTCTTACATTAGACTTAATAAGTTAAAATTAAACGAAAGGTCCACAACATATTGCTACATAGCATCATAGGTCTCAACTCTTAAAAACAAAATAATAAGCTTAAATCTGAAAATACTCTTCATCAATGTACAACTCCAGTTCATTACAACCCGTCTTGTCCTAAGCTCCGGTACCAGAATCATCTCCGGTTGAAACCAAGACAGAATGAGATCTAATGGCTTCATATCAGCTACTTGTATTCTATGCCAGAATGCTGTCTTCCATGCAACTCTAGACAAGAAGTTCCAATTCGAGTTAAACTACGATGTACAACAACTACCTATGATTCATGCTTCTTCCCTCTCTCAACCACCAACGGGGATCCCTACAAGTTTCAAATGATTAAATCCTAAAATTTGTTCACACAACAAATGCAAATGAGTCAAAGAGCACGTATCTAAACGTGAGACTAATGGTAATGGTGATATAATGGATAAAGATGATGTTTATTGTTCATAGTTGTATAAGCTCACCTAGCAAGAAAGGAACGAAGTGGGGATCCTTACCTATGATATAAAACACTCCTCATCAAACAAGCAATAATGATCAAGTGGTCGCATATGTTGCGTCGGGCCTGTCTTGATTGACTCGGTTGAGATTTACGTGTTGGGGAAGGAGATTGTATCGTATACCCAGCTCCTCAAAAATTCTCTTCAACTCAAGGACCAGTTCTGTTCGACGCCTGTTCTTCTCTCCAAAGTCCTGGAAGTTCATCGTGTGATTGCAAAAGAGAGCCATCTTTAACTTGTTGACATTCTCAATTTCCCTCACCACCACAAGGTGGTTAGGATGCCACAGGGCATTGGCTTCCAAATGCCTGATTAGACATAACAGCAGACAGAATATGAATTTATGGGCCGAAATGGACTCGGAATGCAAAAGAATAAGGTGTCAAACTATGGGGACACCTACATGAAGCTATAGCAATGTTTGGTTTTCTCATAATCAAACCTTACATGGGTTAAAGGTAGGATAAAGCTAGAGTAGACTTACTTCTTTATTTCTTCTTTCAGCTTGCCTATTGTCTTCGCTGGGGTCATAAAATCAATCGAGAACTCTATCGTATCACTCATATCTGGGCTTCTGTAATAGTTGCTGATGGGTTTTGTAGCCAAAACTGAATTCGGGTAGTACACCTTTTCATTATCAAGCTTCAAGAAGACGGTCGTTAAAATATTCATCTCCTCGACCAGCAACTGCGAGTTACCAAGTGATAAGCATAATTAGTAATCTTTTCCAGACATGTATGTAGAAGTATGTATTTTTCAATTGTTACCTGAACACCATCAACCACGCAACGATCGCCAACATCGAATGGATGCATCACAAACACGAATATGATAGCTTCAAATATAGTCTTGCAGGTGTTTCCAAACATAAAAACTGCCAGTACGAGCTGCGATGAAAGTAGCAGAAGCAGTTTTGTGGTTGCAATTTCCACCAAAAGAAGCCATATGATAACAGTAACAACGATTACGATTGCCGTCGCAAGTGCATTCAACTGCTTTACAGCTGTTTTGGTGTCACGCAAAGCATATCCTAGTGTTTTCCGATCCTGGTAAACTTTTATCTGCATGAAATAACAAATACGTGCATGTTAATCAAGAACCCTTATCTCCAGGGATGGTTTTAATTCATCACAGCAAAGCTATAATGCCGGGGTTGTCTTCTAACAATCAAAAGTCAATAATGTGATAGCAAAGGGTGTATTTCACAAACCACATAATTTTCTCAATATAAACACTTGGATACTATGTACGAAACAAATTCTTTTCACCAAAATATACAACAATGAAGACATATGGACAATAAGCATTCCATTAGAAAGATGTCCTATTACAGAAATGGAGTATATTTTGACTTCCAAATGTAAATCAAAAGCATAAAAAGCATTAGATTAGTCAGATCATCTTTGCTCCGTGTTGCCAAGAGTATTCAAAATTTTGTTTAAGTTGCTAAAGTCAAAACATTTAACTTTCTTCCCCAATCTATCGAGTAGAATTTGCCGCAGAACAACATATGGCATATGGGGTTCCAGAAAATAACAGGAAAATTTGTTTCTCATACTCATTGCCGCAAACTTGCATAAATATAAAATGTTCAAAATGTTACTCAAGATATTGGATTCATATACAGCTCTTACCACCCAGTTTGTGAAACTTTTTCTGTCAATTTTTCCAGTGCTTGATCCTTCAAACAAAGGTAACACAAGATCCACCTCCTCCTTAATCATGAATCTTAAGAGGTCATCCTCATCAATATAACTGACCATAAAGAGCATCAAGTTCGAGTAATAAAATTTATTTTATTTTTTAAAATAAGTATCATGGAAGGCTGATTTTCTCACCTACGATGGAGATCATGTCGGGTTACATGTGCAAAAATTTGATGAGCAACATACTGTGCCTCCTCCTCATTGGTAATTTCATTATCTGCTTGTTTGCCACCTTCATCACAAGCACTTTCATCTAATGTGTTAGAAACAGTGGAAAGCCCTGAATTCGCGATAGCATCTACCAACACCTTCATATGCCAAGCTGAAACTTTTTCTCGCTTCAACCTATGGACCTTTCCCATGTCAATCAACCTTTTTGTTTTAGGCTCCTTACCCTTTTTTCTTTGCTAACAATCAACTGAGCTGGCGGTTTTTGAATCCCATTAATCTCCATAAGTGGTGGTCCTGAAAGGGTCCTAAGCACGTAGTGATGGAAGACTGATTCTTGTATTCTGTCAAAGAATTTGTTCCTATGGAAATTCGAAGCCAATATCTTTAACAACAAAGTCTTCAACAAGCACAAAAGTGATCCAAAAACTACGCTTACTAAAGTCCAGGTTAAATGATTGAAAACTTTTGTTCCAGTCTTTGATCTCTCAATATCAAGAAACAGAAGAACCCAAGTAGCAAGAACTATGCTAAGCCAAATACACGCCTGAACACTCTTCTTCAAACTATGAACGAAATACAGCACTTTCTTCCGAAGCAGAAAGTTAACCTCGATCAAGAAAACAACCAGAAGCATAAACCAACGAGTAACCAAAAAGCCACAGAATATAACCACCACAAGTACACACAACTTCCAAATTTCCAAACCCCATAAAAGGATGTTCTTTTGTTTTCCTATGGTTAAGCTAGTTATTAAACACCCGAATAGAAACACAAATACAAACCACTGAATCACAACCTTGGGTTTCAATCCATTGAGCTTCTCTTTATGCAGTTTAACTTTCTTAACTATCTCCTCGTTTTCATCCTCCTCAGTGGAGCCTCTAGAGGCCATTGATAACGTTTTTGACATGGCAGAATCCACCCTAATACTTCTAGCCGACTTGTTATTAATGGAGGAGAGTCTATAAGGTGAATTACCACCAACTTGTTCTTGATTAGCTAAACTATTATCTTCCATTTGATCAGATTTAGGGACATAAGATTGTTCTCCGAATCTAGACTTGGGTTTAGCAAATGACCTTCGTCTAAGAAGAGGCTCATTGCCTGCAATTGGGGCTTTAGGTGGCTTGTTTGCAGTAGGACCAGCCGTAACAGCGCTAGATTCGGCCGATGCTTTTTTGTGTGAACCTTGAGAATTAAGCTTAGGGTCCAATGCTTCCGCTTCTTTTGGACAAGACCCTCTTGAATTTTCTTCGCCGGAGACATTGATCACCACCTGTGTACCTCCATTGTTTCCCTCCTCGGCCATTGCTTTAGTTTTCCGTCAAAACTCTGGTAAGGGAAAGAAAAAAACAATATATGAAGCACAAAGAACTTGGTTCCACTTACAAAACAGAATCAAGTTAACGTTTAGGAACAAATGAGGCAAGCTTCGCATTTAAAAATAAGACCTTTCTTTTACGACATCTTAACAGCTGTTAAAGTAACGTCGAAAATCTTATTAAATCAATGGCAACTAATAGAAAACTTTTTAACAAAAAAAAAATAGGATCGATTCATCTTTACTTCTTTAGCACAAAAAAGAGTCGGGTGCACTTTACCTCGGATACAGGGTTTACGGAAAGAATAAGCAAGCAAGGAATCCCCAGAAAGAGTAAAAACAAAGAACCAAGAGTTCATACCTCAAGCAAGTGCAATGAAACCAAACAAAGAGCAGGAAAAAGGAAGAAACAATCTACATGGACCAGACCAAGATGGACATATAACCGGTTCAAACAGTGAAAACGAGCACTCGCACAGTATGAAGCCCAAAAAAGAAAGAAAAATGGAAAATGATGAAGAGGGTGGGAAAATCCAGATTTTGAAACAGTCAACAAGGGAATCAATTTTAAGGGGAAAAACTATGAATGAAACCTCAGTTTCTTAATCAAAACAATGGCCTATGAACGTAGTTAGCTGTAAGAGCGAGCATAGATGGATCACTATAATGTTATTAATCTGTTGTCTTTAATGTTACAAACTAGGGAGAATTTTATTTTTTTATTCATAGACGACAAGAACCATTGGTTTTCCATTCTCCTTTTCCTTTTTGCGAAGATTTAAGGTTTTAATAAAGAAAACTAGGGCGGGACTCGGGATTGCTGGAGGTAAACCCATGAACAGACAAAAGGGTATATCTGGACATTCAGAAATTGTTTGTTATAATTTTTAAAAGTTATATTTTGATCATTTATATCATTAATTTATCATAAATAATCATATTAGTCTTATTACATCGATGTTACGATATATTAAAAATTAATTAATTACTGTTCTGATTAAAATATTGATATAAAATTAAAAAATTATTTTTATTAACATGTCAAATCATTATTGTAATG